TATCATTTGACATGAGGTTACAAGTTATTCGACCCAGTGAACAAGCAGGTTGTGATCAGCAGGGACGTGATCATAGATGAGCTTAAAGAATGGGGTTGGACTGAAAATGTCAAGAAAGATTCAGTGGGAATCCTACTTGAAGAACCAGAAACTCAAGTCAAAAGAGAAGTTCGATAAGAGTAACTAACAGTTATAGATCAACCAAGTACAAACAGACCTCAAAGAACAAGACGTATGCCTACAAGATTACAAGATTATGTGATTACATCAGATGATGTGATAGATAATGAAGGTGAGTTGGTACATTATGCTTTCTATGCAGATGTCGAACCTGTCATTGCAGCTGAAGCATTGAAGGATTTGAAGTGGGTGAAAGCAATGAACGAAGAAGTGAAATATATCGAAGACAACAACACTTGGTCACTTGTCGAATTGCCTCAAGGTAAGAAGGCAATTGATGTCAAGTGGGTATACAAATTGAAAATGAATTCCAAAGGGGAAGTAACTCGACACAAAGCAAGGCTTGTGGCGAAAGGATTTCTACAGAAAGAAGGAATAGACTTCGATGAAGTTTTTGCACATGTTGCTAGGATCGAAACAATCAGGTTGGTTGTTGGTCTAGCAGAAATAAACAGATGGCATATATGGCAGATGGACATGAAGTGTGTATTTCTGAATGGACCCTTAGACGAAGAAGTTTATGTTAAACAACTAGTTGGATTTGTGAAACATGACAAAGAGAGAAAGGTGTACAAGCTGCATAAAGCCCTGTATGGATTGAAACAAGCTCCAAAAGCTTGGAATAAGAAAATTGATAGTTTCCTAAGGGAGAAGGAATTTGTGAAGTGCACAACTGAACATGGAGTATATGTAAGAAGAAGCAATAGTGAATTGCTTATACTATATCTCTATGTCGATGATTTGTTGATAACAGGTAGCTGTAAAAGTGAGATCGAAGACTTTAAAGGCGATCTCAGCAAGGAATTCGAAATATCTTATCTGGGTGAGATTTCATATTTCCTTGGCATCGAATTCTACGAGCAGTAGAGGTTTGATGATGCATGAAAGAAGATATGCAGGAGAAATTCTCAAGAGATTTGAGATGGAAGAATGCAACTCAACTTTGACATTTACAGAACCAAGACTGCAATTGTCGAAAGATACAGATGAAGATGATGTCGATCCAATCCAATACAGAAGACTTATTAGGTCATTGAGATACCTTTGTCATACAAGGCCTGACTTAGCATATAGTGTAGGTATGGTAAGTAGATTCATGCAGAAGCCAAAGGTATTACATCTAGCAGTGTTGAAGAGGATACTAAGATATCTCAAAGGAACTCTCGACTATGGAATTTTGTTTCCTGCAACTGATAAAGGAAAAGAATGCAAGTTAGTGGGATACACTGATTCGAGTTGGTGTAGTGATGCTGAAGATCAAAATCAACAGTAGGATATGTGTTTATGTTAGGTGGTGCACCAGTTGATTGGAGCTTAAGAAAGGAACCAGTAGTGGCATTATCATCATGCGAAGCAGAATATATAGCTGCTTCTCTTTGTGCATGTCAAGAAACATGGATGGTGAACTTGGTCGAAGAGATATCAGAGAAAGATCATGGAGCAATTACCATGAAGATCGACAGTATGTCAGCTATCAATCTAGCGAAGAACCCGATAGCACATGGTCGAAGCAAGCACATCGAAATGAGGTTCCACTATCTTCGAGAGCATGTAGCAGATGGGAATGTGGATTTGGAACATTGCAGAACTGAGAATCAGATTGCAGACATCATGACGAAGGGTGTGCATGTCGAAGTATTTCAAAGACTAAGAGCTATGATGAATGTAGATAGCTTAGGCACAATGAATTATGTGGTGTGTTGAAATTAATTCCTTGTGTCGAAGCAATTTGCTCGACAGAGACAAGAGAGTGTCGAAGTAGGCGTGTCGAAAATGCTACACACAAATTTGATTGGTTTTAGATTTAGATAGATTTGATTTAGATCTAAAATAGATAGATTTGATTTAGTACCAAAATAGGTATTTTGGGATTTTATAGTTTTGGGTTTTGGCTTAGGAGCAAGCTAACCTAAATTTATAAATAGAGAGAGTAACCCCTAATTTTTTAATTAAGTCAATTCATTGTAATCACAGAATTTGCAGTTGCAAGTGATTAATAAAGTTTTCCACAGTTTGTGAGCAGAGAGAAACTCTGTAGAAAATAATTGTCTTCTTTCTTTTCTTTTCTTCTCTCATAATTCATTGTCATTGTGTGGTGATATCAATCTTGTTCATCAAGATTAGTAGAAATTCATCATAGATATTTAGTGGATTTCCAACATCGAAGAGAAAATTTGATGTCATCTTTTTCTAAATGTAGTAAAACATATGAGATTTAGAAGGATGTTTTGAATTGGTTGAATGTCACTCATGATCCGAAAGATTGACATCGGAAAAGTCAACAGATCACTGCTAACACGAAAGGTAAAGGGTGGAGAGCTTCCATCAAGCCATAGTTGAAACAGTTCATGAAATTTGATTGTATAGAAATGAGGTTATTTTTGGAGAGGGAAATTATAGATACACTATTGTGGAAAAAATTACAGAAAATATATTTTATAAGGGTTGAAATAATAGGAAGATTATATTACACCTTGTAAATTTAATGATATAATGTGTTAGTCTTTGTTGTTGACTGGATCCAAATGATTGTCATGTTTTATACAATTTTTTAAGTTATATATTTCTTTTATTAAAAAAAATAGGCACCACAATTATTATAATACTGTCACAATTGCATAATTTATGTCACAATTGCATAATTTATTTTAAATCGTCAAAATTATAGAATTTTTAAAAATAAAAAATTTCTGAACTTGCAAATAAATAAAACAACCAAACTAAAATATAGGTAAAATTTTTTCTAATATTTACAATCAAATTAAAATATTGGTAATGAATCAATAATGCATTTTTATTTAAAATGACCATAATAGTAGAACTTTAAAAAATAAAAATAAATTCTTACCTTGTAAATAAATAAATCATAAAAAATAAAATAAAGATAAAAATTTCACATTCTTTAATATTTTTAATCAAATGAAAATATATTTGATAAATCAATAACGTGGTTTTATTTAAAATGGTCACAGTGGTAGAACATTCAAAAATAAAAAGTTGATTTTATTTATAATATATTTATTTTAAACTTAAATATTTATGTATTTATATTCATTATTTAAATTTATGTATTTATACTTTATAATTCGTATAATTTTGTTAATTACATAATTATTATATTGATCTATAATGGTTTTTGTTTTGGATTGGTGCAGTTTGACTGGGTCCAGTCCAGGACATCTCCTCTGATATTGTCCGCACGACTGTGACTCAGGTTGTCTGTTATATATAGAGTATGTCAGTCATTTGTTCTCCTGAACCAGCACTGGTGCAGGATGACCGACGAGCATTCTCTCAGTCTGTCCGGCATCAACGTCGTGCAGGTCACCAGCAACCGTTACGAGCACATCTGTCTGGTTTGACCAAGTCCTGGCAGTTACCTGATTTCACGGACCTGCATATCTAGGCGTGAAATCAGGAACCAATGACCACGCACCAGGAGCATTATATAAACCGTCATACCTGCGTGGGTCAGATATCGAATATTCATTATTCACCACTTAATACTTTGCTTGTACCTCCTTGTTCTCACTCTTACTTGATCTTCGGAGTATCTTGCAGGTACAACCCCTTTTTTCCTCGACTTCAAAACCCGACTACATATCATCTTCCGGTCACTTCTCAGATTCTGATCAACCGGTAAGATCAGTTTTTGATGAAAGAAAGTTAAATGTTCTAATATATTGATATCTAATTGTAAATTACAAAATAAATATATTAAATAAAATCAACTTTTTTATTTTTGAATGTTCTACTATTCTGACTATTTTAAATAAAAATACATTATTGATATATCTATTATATTTTCAATTAATTAAAACTATTAAAGAATTTGAATTATTATCTATATTTTAATTTGGTTGATTTATTTATTTTCGAGTTAGGATTCTTATTTTATTTTTGAATATTCTATTATTGTGACCATTTTAAATAAAAATACATTATTAATTTATTACCTATATTTTAATTTGATTAAAAATATTATAGAATGCAGAATTATAACTTATATTTTAATTTAGTTGATTTATCTATTTAGAAATTTTTTATTTATACAAATTCTACAATTGTGACTATTTTAAATAAATTCTACTATTGTGACAGTAATATAATAATTGTGACGCTTATTTGATATTTGCAAACTAGAAATTTAAATCTTATTATTTTTTTATTTTTTTAAATAAAATAAATAGAGAAATATTAGTCTTTAGTTTATGATAAATATTAATATAACAAATAGAAAATTATTTATGATCTGATTATTTTATTATAGAATTTTTAAATATTAAGTATAATAAGAAAAAACATCCACTAAGGAGCGTAAGATTTAAATGCATTTAAAAAAATTTCTTAAATGGTGAGTTTTTTTATTAAGTTGCTTATATATGAGATTGTAGAGAATATTATATAATATATAAAAGTTAAATAATATGATCGGAGTTGGAGAATCTACGAGATAGAAAGTAATTCTCAACTTCAATGCTACAAATAGATAATTTCTACAATATCCCCGTTAACTGATAGAAATTATCATTTAATTTTAAAATCAAGAAGAGAAAGAAAAAAAAGAACAATATAAGAGTTGAAAACCGTAATGTGTTTGTGTCGGATTGTGCTTGAGAAGCATTTCACATTTATGCAGTAAAGAGTATTAAAAAGCCCTCAGCCATTGAAAAACAGAAGAAACAAGGCATGAAGTATTTCAATTGACACACAAATTGTCCCTGTGAACAGCTAGCCATTCTTATTAGTTATGTATCTTTAATCATAATACTAATTCAAAAAATATAAAACATAAAATTTCCACATTATCAATCTACTAGCTACTCCTCAACCCTAGGGTATCCAAATGGAACTTCATACACAGAAGACTTCATAAGATCCTTCCTCACAAACCCATAATTCCTAAGAACTTGATCATCACCAAAGTTCAAAGCCCTCTCCATCTCTTTCCAACAAACATCCCCTTTATAGCTAGGATTATGATCCCCACTACATGGCTGACACCCTGTAAAATGTGCCACAAAAGGCCTCTTTTCTTTCCCTCCCAAATACCTCTCTCTCATTTCACCATACCAAACACTCAATTTCTCGGAGTGCCTTCTCCTCAAAACCCTAGCCTCATCTTCCATCTCATCATACTCATTCTTCAACCTCTCAAACTTCCCTAACGAAGCAATCCAATAACCCTCCAAATCATACCCTTCCTCTAAATATGTTTTCCCACCCCATTTTCTCCTTTGCCTAGAAAGCAAATAAATCAAAGAAGATTGATCGTCGGATACCGGAAACAGTTTATCTTTAAATATTGAAGTTAAGATTCTCCCCCATGTTTCATAGTTTGATGTTAACGGACCCATTTGTGCCCATACATGTAACAAATCCATAGACCATTGACAGTTACGAATCAGAACCGAACCAGCGTTAAGCCCAGTCCAGCTTTTATTCTCACTTTCATCGTACACCATGTTGGACCAACCATGAACAACAAGATTATGATCCTTGTAACGCTCCAACGGAATCTTGAACTCCATGTCAGTGACAACTGCGTCTGCATCTAACCACCAGATCCACTCTACTTCTGGATGCGCCATCATAGCAGATCGAATACTTGGAATTTTGGACCAATAAGAATTCATCTTTGGGTGCAAGAGTACGTTGCTATAGTAAACCTCGCAGTTGTGGATCCTGCAATAATCAACTTTGTTTTTGAAACATCTTAGCAGCAAATGGTCGCCGATCTTGTTCTTGCACGGCGTTGGTTGCGAGCCAGTGACGATAAGTATCCGGTCGCGTGAAGCGGCGAAGGAAGGATGGAGTTTGAGCCAGTCGCTTCGTTTTTTGTTCCATTGTTTTATAGGTTTTTCGATGGAGTAGCTTAATTTTGGGTCGTCGTAGAATGTTTTTTCAGAAGGATCTTGAACAACCTCGGAGGTTGAATTGGTGGCACCTGTGAGGAGGATAGTGAGTTGGTTTCTTTTGAACCATGATGCAGAGATGAGTAGTAGAAGAAGAACCAAGAGGGTTCCTTTGAGAATGGGAAACCCAATTGAGAAACCTCTTTTTTTTTTCATAGTTGTCGTTTGGAATGTTTCGGATTTGGATTGTATTCAATTTAGAATTAAGAATTTATTTTGGTTTTGGGGTTAGTGAAATGAGAGTGTTTATTGGTGATAACTTCACAATTTCATGCATCAATTTAATTGATACTCGTAAAACAGTTTTACCTTATAGTGAACAGTCACCATTAAATATTTTTTGAAATTTTATTTTTATTTTAATTATTTATAATTTAATATTTGTAAATGGTTATAATACATTGATTCAATAAAAAATTTACACCGTTAGTATATAATAATTAATCTTGTATTTGACTCAAATTTGAAAATAGTGCCTTGCAATTGGCACTAAATTTTATTTTCTACTTACTTTATTCTAGTTATTTTGGTATAGAAAAAATAGTATTTTTAAAATAAAAAAAATGTAATAATATTAAATAATTTTATAGTGTCAGCCAATCATAATTATATTAAGTGATAAATCATTACTATTATTTTTAAATAAATTATATAATATATCTAAATGATAAATTTTTATTTGAATGACAGTGTAAAATTATTTTACATTTGTAAGTATATTATCTTTTAACTTTTAAAAAAAAAATAAAAAATAACATCAAATTTAAATTCTTTCTCATATAAATTAAGTATATTTATTAATTTTTGTGCAATTGTTAAAATAAAATAAATCTTAAGTAAAATGCAAATATCAAAATAATTATCTTTTATCTAATAAATACATGCCATACAATACGACTATTCCTTGAAGGAAAAAGTGCCGAGAATTAAAAAAGTTTTCTTTTATTCATAAAAAAAAAGATAATTTATAATCTAACATCATTACGCGTTTTGAATTCGAATCCAATCTTAAATAGGCAATTGCGAATAAAAAATATCTAATTTAAAAATATAATAATTTATAAAAATTGTACTATTTAATTAATAATTTATTCAATTACATTCTTATGTTTTGAATACCAAAAGATAATTGTACTAATCAATGCACATAGTTACTATTTAATTATTGGATTCAAAAAAATTAATTTCTTATCTTTTTATAAAAGACATTTCATATTTTTATATTTATTACTCCCTCCGTTCCTTTTTAAGTGTCGTTTTAGAAGAATTTTTTTATTTCTATTTAAGTGTCGTTTTTATAATTTAATGTTATCATTTGTCAATTATATCCCTACTTTCTCAATAACTCCACTTCACATTTTCCATAAAATTAATTATTTTCTCAATTAGTTATTGGAAAAAGAGAGATGGTGTATGATTGAATTTATTTGGAAAGAGAAAATAAATGAGCGTATAATAGGAAAAATAACTCTAAAAATCCACTATCTTGGTTGAAGAGCTTTATGCTAAAATGACACTTAAAAAGAAACGGAGGGAGTAAATAATTAATGTATTTGATACATATAATAAATAAAATATATTAGTTATTTAATAATTTAAAAAAGTAAAGTCTTTGTTATAAAAAAATCGAAGAAAATATGTTAAGATATACACATTCTTATCATTATTATAAATAAATTTGAATTGTTATATATATATATATATATATATATATATATATATATATATATATATATATATATATATATATATATATATATATATATATATATATATATATATATATATATATATATATATATATATATATATATATATATATATATATATATATAATCTTATCGGTTGATCAAAATCTGAGAAGTGGCCAGAAGATGATCTGTAGTTGGGTTGTGAAATTAAGGAGAAAAGAGGGTTGTACCTGTAAGGGACTCCGACGATCAAGTAAGAGTGCGAACAAGGAGGTGCAATCAAAGTATTAAGTGGTGAATAGTGAATATTCGATACCTGACCCTCACAGGTGTGAGGGTTTATATAATGCCCCTGGCGCGTGGCCATTGGTTCCTGATTTCAAGCTTAGATATACGGGTGCGTGAAATTAGGTAACTGCCAAGACTTGGTCAAACCGGGCAGATGTGCTTGTAACTAGTCGTTGGTCCCGAGGAGGGGGTTAGTTGCGAGCATCTCTCTGGTCGGTTCCTGGTGGCCCGCACGACGTTAATGTCGGGCAGGCTGAGAGGATGCTCGTCGGCCATCCTGGGCCAGTGCTGGTTTGGGAGGGAAAATGGACGACATACTCGATAGGTAGCGGGCAATCCGGGTCACGATCGTGCGGGTCGTACCAAAGGAGATGTCCTGGACCGGGCCCGGTCAAGCTGTCGGGCCAATTCAGAACAGTAGCCCCTCAAGTCGTTGCTTCTGGGCACAGGAGTTATGACTTTAACATCTGCTCGTGGAACGGGGCGTGCCTGACAGGGAAGTGAGTGTTTCCCGCTACGCCTTGCTTGCTGGGAGACGAGGCGTTGGTCGTTATGACTTTTGAATTTGGAGAGGTAGCGTGTTTTGGGAAGCGCACTAGTGAAGCGGTGCAATGATGACCTAGGGCTAGGGTGTAACGATGACGACCCTAGGGTTCCCCAGGTGCGTGTCTTGTATGCACAGATTGTCTCAGCTATAAAAACGAGAGGAACATGGCATTTAGTATTTTTTTGTCTTCTTCCTCAACTGCTCGTATTAGCTCAACAGTCGGCCATCTTTGTTCGTTGAGTTTCTCTGCTCGCAGCTGCTTACTCCCATCTTTTCTTCTTTTATTAATTGGTAAGTTTCAGGTCCTTCGTTGTCGTTCGCTTTTGCATTTTCTCTTTTTATTTTCTAGATATGCATGCAGTTAGGATTTAGGGAGGATGTCGTTGGAGAATGTTGGTGGTAGATGGCGTTTTTATGGTTTAGAATCGTCGGAACCGCCGTGGGGTCTCCTCGAGGATCTCGTGGTGCGTCGTAGATGCCTCATTAGGGCTTAGGGCTCTTTCTGCAACTCGTGCCCGTTGATACGCCTCGGTGAGGGTTCTGGTCGTGGATATGATCCTCGTTTCCCAGCGCCATTTTTCTTGTTTAGCAGTGGAAGGGTGGTTTTGGCATTGATGTCGAGCTCATCTTTCTCCTCTGCTTTTCAGGTGTTATGACCGATGATGCTCGGGTCGATATTTCGAGCAAATTTACACAGTCTTCGAGGAGTTCCTCGGACGGGACAAGTAGCTCATCAAGCATCCTGGAAATTTTCGGGGAAGCGCGGAATCAGATGGGACAGAAAACGGGGGAGCCTGACGTGGGGGTGACTTCCGCCGACCAAGGCAGCTTATTTTCTCCTGGGGACGAGGAGGATCCTCAGGATTGGGTCGCAAATGACCCCTGGGACTGGTCGTCGTATTTTTACGAGCATGGGGAGGATGTCTTCATGGACGTATACACTCATGAGGAGGGGGCCCAAGAGGAATGGTTGTTATATATTCCTGGGAAAGAGAGCAGAATCTTCTCGAAATACGACAAGAGGCGGATCCCAATGTATGTTATCGTGTTTCGAGAGATGGGTCTTCATCATCCCTTTTTTCTGACTTCGAGGTGGCCGTATTTAGGCACTTGCGTATGGCGCCCTTCCAACTGCATCCGAACGGCATTGGGTTCATGCGAGCGTTCGAGATAGTTTGCGATCATTTGGGGATAGGGGACACCATTCCCTTATTCTTCTACTACTTCCATCTTCAGAGGAGCAAGGTCGACGGAAAATGGGGATGGGTTTTCCTGAAGCAAGGCAATGGAAAGCTATTTAAAGCCTATTTGGAATCTGTCCGTCACTTTAAAGATAAATACATTTTGGTGCAGCCTTCTTCGACCAAGGGGATGTTGAA